AACAAATACTAACACAACACACCACAACACACCCCAACACAACACACCCCAACACAACACACCCCAACACAACACTCCCTAATGCTAACTAAACACAACACTAACACTTTATGTATTTCTTCATATACACATTGTGGTAAGATAAGTTTGTTTGTTTGTTTCAGTCAAGCCAACTGGTGAAATGGGAAGTGGTGTGGATATGATGTGTTATGATGATGCAGCAGTTGGTGTTTATAAAGATCTGAAGCCAATTAGAGGAGACAGTTGGATCATGGTATGGGATGTTCGAGAGAGACAATATCAAGGTTGGGATCCCGATATTTCCCACTCCCTATACATGGGGATTGAGGGTAAGGTGAGGATCTTTTATGTCCCCTCCCCCATCAGTACACTGCCATTTAGAAATATAATTACTATTTGGCAGTGTAACTATGCGGCAAACAAAAGAATCCTTTTCGGGGTCATAAGTGAGGTGATTAAACACCCCGAGATCACTACAAACGGCGTATACCATACAATAATTGGCGTGGTGGATCCTACGTGCCTGCACCCCGGCGCCTCAAGAACAGATCTATTGTTACACACCTTTATGAACGAACGTGGCACAAAGAAGCTCCGAGGGACTGTCGAGAGAGGACAGATTATCAGGACTTCTAATATGATGGTACGTTGATGACCCAGTGTGTGTACTGTACATTGTGAACAACAGCTCTCTAACGTGTGTACAATTATCTAAACTAACTGAGGTTAGGTTAGCATTAAGGGGTTTAATCATCAACTGGGGTGTACAGTAACCTTCACTCCCCAGGCAGTCTTAGTGTTTAATCATCAGCTGAAATAAACTGGGGTGCCTAATGTTCACCTGAGCCTATCTTGTTGTTGTTCAGTGAAGGAAAATTATTTATTTATTTATTTATTTATTTCAGGTGGAGCACTACAATAACAAGTATGTGGCCAAGGTTTTCTCGGCCACATCAGTGGTAAGATTTAGTTCAGCATGCAGTGAAGAGTTTGAACCTATTACTGACTATGAAAATTACAGAGTCACTGGTAAGATTACGTCGTACAGCTCGTTGAAGTATGGATGATCCGGATGTAGTTAAACCCAGATGATGTGGATGAGTGTTTCTGAATCTGTGTCAGCTAATATGTTGATTCCTGACCCTTCAACTACTTTCTGTGTACTGTCCCACACTACTGTACTGTCCCCACACTACTGTGTCACTGCCCCACACTATACTGTGTCACTGCCCCCACACTGTACTGTATCACTGCCCCCACACTGTACTGTGTCACTGACCCCACACTGTACTGTGTCACTGCCCCACATTATACTGTGCCACTGCCCACACGCTGTACTGTGTCACTGACCCCACACTGTACTGTGCCACTGCCCCACACTACTGTGTCACTGCCCTACATTATTGTACTGTCCCCACACTGTACTGTGTCACTGCCCCACACTATTGTACTGTCCCCACACTGTACTGTGTCACTGCCCTACATTATTGTAATTGTCCCCACACTGTACTGTGTCACTGCCCCACACTATTGTACTGTCCCCACACTGTACTGTGTCACTGCCCTACACCATTGTACTGTCCCCACACTGTACTGTGTCACTGCCCCACACTGTACTGTGTCACTGCCCCACACTATTGTACTGTCCCCACACTGTACTGTGTCACTGCCCCACACGACTGTACTGTCCCCACACTGTACTGTGTCACTGCCCCACACTGTACTGTGTCACTGCCCCACACTACTGTGTCACTGCCCCACACTATTGTACTGTCCCCACACTGTACTGTGTCACTGCCCTAAAGTTGATATTACTGGAGGAAACAGCACAATAATATTTGTCATTGTCGTGTTTTCCACAGATGTGGAGAAGGCGGAAATAACCCGCCTGAGAGAGTGGTGGGCCTCTCACCACCATGAACTTCCACCAAAAGCACAACAGACGGACCCCTCTCAACAGGTTGCCCAACCACCAAGGTGCTTGTCTTTCAATAGTTGAACAAGTTATTTCTTTGTAATAATAATATAGTCACTCCACATACTGTAATGTTATATATTGTCTTGCCAGTTGTCGTATGGCTGCTGTGATTGGCAGGTCATTATTATCAATAATTTTCCATAAGGATTGATCACTCAAGTGTGGTTGTGTTGTTTTGCAGGGTGCAGGACACTGTCAGGGTGGAGGACAGTGCCAGGGTGAAGGACACTGATCGTCCCATCAAAAGAACCTATCCATCGCCCAGGGGGTCAAGTACACCCGCTAAACGTAAGTGTTGAATTTTTCACGTTTTATTTTTTGTTTTCGTCGTTAATCGGTCTTATTTTTCTCGCGTGTGTTGGTATACGGCAGTCGATTATCGGAAAGTACACTCACGGCCTCAGCCTAACCTAACCCCTTGATGAGTGCGGTCTGGTAAATGTGGAAGAAACGTTTTAGAATAATTTATCCTCCGGGACGTACGACCGACTCTGCCTCCATCCAACACCGTGCGGCAGACGCGTACACGATCTTTTATTTAACAATATTGACAATGTTCAAATAGCCTTACACAAACTGTCAAACTCAGACCCAAGTAGAGTACAATTATACAAGACTATCAATGCAACTGTTGATACAATGTGTAATACAAAGATAAAGATGAACGAGTGGACACCAGTGAGAGTGGGTGGCCAGGAACATATGAGGCAGGGGCCATGGAGGAGGAACAGGGGCCATGGAGGAAGAACAGGGGCCATGGAGGAGGAACAGAGGCCATGGAGGAGGAACAGGGGCCATGGAGGAAGAACAGGGGCCATGGAGGAGGAACAGAGGCCATGGAGGAGGAACAGGGGCCATGGAGGAGGAACAGGGGCCATGTGGTGTTATTCAGTTGGTGAAGAGTGCCCATAACTTATTAACTTGAAGATTAATGGTGGCTCTTATGACACAATTGTTAACTCAACACATGTTATTGCTGGGTTCAAACAGCTGCCTTTAACCCAACAGTTCAGGAGTGAAGGTTAACAATTATACTCTGTATAAAAGATTTAAAAAATGACAACCATAATAAGTGTGTAGGTTCCATAACAACTAATATATAAACAATAAACTATTTTGTAATAGTAATTTACACCCATAAATAATAGAGCAGCACTGAATGGTTAATACTTAACTAAACCCAATTTGAAAAGGTATCCACCACTGACAAACTGAGACATCCTTCCACCTCCAAGGCCAGCCAGTGACTGACTTGGCTCCAATATTAATAAACTCCCACATTATGCTACAAAAATGCCTTCATACATACAGAAAAATATTTGATGTATCAAATACCAGCATATATGTCACCTCCATCTGGGTCTGGGGAGCCTCTGAGGCAGAGGGAGCAATGTCTGCCAATAACTAGTTATGTAAGTCACTGTATTGTTCTGTACTGCCTTCTCTCCCTCCTATATCCTTCTCCCTCCTATATCCTTCTCTCCCCTCTCCCTCCTATATCCTTCTCTCCTCCTCCTTTTATCCCTTCTCTCCTCCTCCTATATCCTTCTCTCTCCCTCCTATATCCTCTTCTCTCCTCCTCCTATATCCTTTTCTCTCCCTCCTCTATCCTTCTCTCCCACTCCTCTATATCCTTCTCTCCCCTCCTCCTTTATCCTTCTCTCCTCCTCCTATATCCTTCTCTCTCCTCTATAGCCTTCTCTCCTCCTCCTATATCCTTCTCTCCCTCCTACTGCCTTCTCTCTCCCTCCTATATCCTTCTCTCCCTCCTATATCCTTCTCTCCCTCCTATATCCTTCTCTCCCTCCTATATCCTTCTCTCCCTCCTCCTATATCCTTCTCTCCCTCCTATATCCTTCTCTCCCTCCTCCTATATCCTTCTCTCCCTCCTCCTATATCCTTCTCTCCCTCCTCCTATATCCTTCTCTCCCTCCTCCTATATCCTTCTCTCCCTCCTCCTTTATCCTTCTCACCCTTCTTTATCCTTCTTTACCTTTCCTTCCCTTCTCTATTTAAGTAGTGAACAACCTAACTGGTAATAGGCATTTGATGACCTTTTCTGCTCTTCTTGGTCACACTGCCTAAACATTATTATTGTAAGTTAAAACAATTGTCACTCAACATTTTCAGTGTCCCGGCCATCGACGAGTGGGGAGGTGGGAGCCAGCGTTAACCAAGACCCCAGGGAATATATAACACGTGAGAGGAAGTATTTGTTGTGGCATCTGTGTGTTTGTTTACGTGGCATTAAAACTCCCAGAATGACCCCTAAGGATCCTTACAATACCAGCCACACTTGATTTACTCTTTGTATTGATGTTACATAATGTTTTTCAGGTGTTACAGGGGAATATAGCGACGTGACAATAGAACAATTTTTAGACGCTGGTAAAGTGGGGGAGCTGTATGAAATAGCTGTAAAGATAAAGAGCTTCAATATACTGAAGACACCACATGCAGGTATTGTTATCAGTAATAGTAAGTGTTGTATACATCTAAAATACCTTAATGTAAGACAAATACAATGATAAAATACAATAAATCAGGTAAATGAAATACAGCAAGCTCTTAAAATTTGTGAGGGTTTGGATCTCAAAATGGCCATGAATAACATTTGCCCTTAGGACAATTATTTTTTTTACCTGTATTGTGTGTAGACACATATACACTACAGGTAAAAGAAATTACTGTGTATAAAAATAAATGGCTCCCTGTCCCGGCTGATAACAAGTGTCCACAGACATTGTTGGGTACATCCAGGGTGTCATCTGTGCATAATGGAGTTGTCAGGGCAAGTTGTAACCTCGTTGATAAGTGAGGAGCATATATAAACTGACTGTGTGAGGACTTTACTGTGGTGTATGGTTGAGAGTTAACAAAGAGCTGCTGTGTTATCTACCTTGCAGGACCAACACACTGTAGTTTGTTTATCTCGCAGTACTCAACTGCCATTCGTCCCTCGGTGTACCCCCATCAACAAAACCGTGTTTTGCGTTGACAGATGAACCAGCTACGAGGGACTTAGAGGGTCGGCACAAGTGGAGTACACTCATACCACAAGACGCCATTGAACTGGAATTTGCCGAAATTTGGTCCGAGACAAAAATGAAAGCTAATCTGGGTGGAGAGGAATTGAGACGATTCTTTGGTAAGTATGAAAACTTTTATTCTTGATGTCATCTGTTGCTCTTAAGAGTTCTTTATTATGGTTGGAGGTAGAGGTATTGGTGCACACACACACACACACATGTAACTTCCTCTGAAGACTCACATTTAATTAGGGAATTACCAGATATTGTTAAAAAACTGTGTCTTAGTTGACTTCTCTGAGATGGGTGGACGGATACAGGCAGTTATATGTACAGAGAGGCTGGCCACTTGATCTGGGACTGAGGACTGTGAGCTTGAGAGCAGTGTTAGAGATGGTGTTTAGATCTGTTAGGAGTGAAGTGGTCTCTCAGGCTACTGCTCAGTGGTAGATCAGCAATGTGTGGTGTCCAGCTAAAGACTGACTAGCTATACCAGGGCAGTGTAGAGTATACCCAAGACAATATACCATAACAACAGCATTATATTCTCTCAACAGCTCTGCCTGCAGCTTATTCGTGGGAACAACATGGACTTGACCGCCAACTGTCAAACATATTGAACTCACTGAAGGACTCTCAAGAGTATTACTTCTTTGGAGTAAGAAAGAACTCGACCGAAGACGGTAAAATTTTCTTCAAAATTACACAGACGGCAGTACAACTCATATCCATGTAGTGATGATTGTCTCACTTACCTCGTGTTATGCTGCTTAATGTATATAATTATCAAGTAAATGAGTCACTTTTCTGGAAGAATGTAATAGTATTATTAAAGTGTAAGATGAGTGTAGTTATTGTAAGTGTTATTGTAAGTATGCACCACAATATTTTGTAATTTATACCTCAGGTCTTAATTTACATGTAAAGTGTTATTAGTAATTATTATACTTAGTTATATTAGCACTTTAGTTATCTGACAGGTCTGTCCTTAACTTTAATCACATATAATTATTTTTGGGTTGAGACAATATTTTACAAGCGAGAAAGACCTGAACTGTGGCTTCCTGTGAGTACTGCAGTCAATATTTTAGAGTTCCTGTGAGTACTGCAGTTATCACAAGCTGCCGGTTTATATGAGTACTGTATATGAGTCAATATATTTATGAGCAAGAAAGCCTTTATTACTATTATAATTGTGTTTGAGGTTTATGAGAAAGAATTGTGTGTTTTGGTTTATTGAAAGATGTATTTGTATTTCATATTTCTCACTGAAGGGAAAAACGTGAAAGATGATGATTTTGTTAATTTGGTTACTAACAAAAGTAAATAATAGGTATTTGTAGGGCTGAATTGTTATTACCTGTAATTAAGCTAATTCGACTATAACATTAACCTTACCCTATCTAGGTAACATAAGGTTAATGAAACAGGTGAATAATGCTCAGGTAATCTACCTTGTTTAACTCACATTTTCAGTCATTTTTAATACCTTGTGTGCAGATTAAAATCATCTGTTGTTAATATTAAAAGTGTCGTCCCTGTAGTGAATTTATTGATTTTTTTTATTCATTTGCAAGACTTTATTTACTTTAGTTGTGTTTTAGGTAATGTAACTCGTCAAGTTTATTGTGAAAATATTTCTGTGCAATGTCATATTGTGTATATTTTTATATGTGAACAATATATTACCTTTATATAATGTGTGTATATTTTGCCTCTGATAGTTTGTGAAGAAGAAAATGTCTTACTCATTCAATCTGTCTATTGAATGAACCAGTTATCTCGTGCTATATCTGTCTCACTGTCTCTCAACTGTATACACTACGCCCGGATAATGAGCGCATCTTTATTTCTCGGTCCCCCGGACGTACCCAAGAATGTCTGCGGGTAGTTTTTAAAGTCGCCGGCACTTTAGCGGCCGGTACCGAGATCCGGCGACTTTTGTGGCAGCCTGCAAGGTGTCTCTTGTCTCGGGAGGTCGTGAGATCCGGCGACTTTTGTGGCATCCTGCAAGGTGTCTCTTGTCTCGGGAGGTCGTGAGATCCGGCGACTTTTGTGGCATCCTGCAAGGTGTCTCTTGTACCGAAGTCGTGAATCCAGCGACTTTTGTGGCATCCTGCAGAGTGTCTTGTCTCAGAGTCGTGAGATCCAGCGACTTTTATGGCGTCCTGCAAGGTGTCTCTTGTCTCGAAGGAGTCGTCGCAGGAATCCGGCGGCACGACTTTTATCCAGCGTCCTGCAAGTCTGTCTCTTGTCTCAAAATTACGTATGAATCCGGCGCTTTATGGCATCCTGCAAGGTGTCTCTCTTATTTGTCTCAGAGATGCGAATCCGGCGACTTTTGTGGCGTCTGCAAGAATTCTTGTCTCGGAAGTGCGTGAGATCCGGCGACTTTGTGGCATCCTGCGAGTATACCGCCCAATGCCGGAAGTCGTGAATCCGGCGACTTTGTGGCGTCCTGCAAAGTGTCTCTTGTCTCGGGAAATTAATGAATCCGGCGACTTTTGGCATCCTCAAGTGTCTCTTGTCTCGGGAAGTGCATTGAGATCCGGCGACTTTTGTGGCATCCTGCAAGAGTGTCTTGTCTCTGGGAGAATTAAAGTGAGATCCGGCGACTTTTGTGGCATCCTGCAAGGTGTCTCTTGTCTCGGGAGGTCGTGAGATCCGGCGACTTTTGTGGCATCCTGCAAGGTGTCTCTTGTCTCGGGAGGTCGTGAGATCCGGCGACTTTTGTGGCATCCTGCAAGGTGTCTCTTGTCTCGGGAGGTCGTGAGATCCGGCGACTTTTGTGGCATCCTGCAAGGTGTCTCTTGTCTCGGGAGGTCGTGAGATCCGGCGACTTTTGTGGCATCCTGCAAGGTGTCTCTTGTCTAAAATTAAATTGAGATCCGGCGACTTTATGGCGTCCTGCAAGGTGTCTCTTGTCTCGGGAAGTGCATTGAGATCCAGCCGACTTTTGTAGCATCACAAAGAGTGTCTCTTGTCTCGAGAAGTCCATTGAATCCGGCGACTTTTGTGGCATCCTGCAAGAGTGTCTCTTGTCTCGGGAAGTCGTGAGATCCAGTGACTTTGTAATCCTGCAAGGTGTCTCTTGTCTAGGAGGTCGTAGAGATCCGGCGACTTTGTGGCATCCTGCAAGGTGTCTCTTGTGTCTCGGGGAGGTCGTGAGATCCGGCGACTTTTGTAGCATCCTGCAAGGTGTCTCTTGTCTACAAGGGAAGGTCGTGAGATCGGCGACTTTAATGGCATCCTGCCAAGAGTGTCTCTTGGCTCTCGGTCGTAGAGATCCGGCGACTTTTGTGGCATCCTGCAAGGTGTCTCTTGTCTCGGGAGGTCGTGAGATCCGGCGACTTTTGTGGCATCCTGCAAGGTGTCTCTTGTCTCGGGAGGTCGTGAGATCCGGCGACTTTTGTGGCATCCTGCAAGGTGTCTCTTGTCTCGGGAGGTCGTCATAACCCTCGTGCATCTGGTAACAACTGTGCTCTTAGCCGCCGCCACACTTCTCTTAGCCACAAGTTTATCCGTGACAAAGCCAATGTCCCTTAAGACTGACCCATGTTGAGGAAGGTGGTACCACAAAGGAAGGATTTACTCACACGATCATCAGTGGCAGGGAGAGGAGACTGGGGCCATCAAGGAGTGGTGAGTAAAACTATTTCTCTATAACAGTTGTCATTTTTTGTTTGTCGGAATATTAATTCATTTACTCTGGTAATGATACATTTTTTTATTATGTAAATGAATGGTTTATATAATTTATTTATCACTGAGCTCGTACCATTTTCATAGAAGACGACAAAATATGTTTTTCTCCCATACTGTACGTACGCCTGGCAGGGGGGAGTGACTATCAGGTGTAGGGGCCTCTGTTGTACTGTATGTACTATTTGCAGGTACCAAACAGGAGGTACTGGGAAGGTATTGGAAGCATAATGTGTTGTCTAATGGGAGACCCTGCTGTCATATGTGACCAAGTCCCAGGTTGATGATCTGACTTTCTGCCTCATTTACACACAATTGCAGGGTCTCAATTGTTTCTCTTACAACACAACATACATAATGTATATTGTTTCTCAATCATAATTTATTTTTTTTATTTATTTATGGTTATTACTGTACTGTATTATTATTTTATTTGTATTTGTATTAATTTTATTAATTGTTGAAATAATAATAATAGATATTATTATCATCATCACCATCATTATTATTATTATTATTATATTTTCACCCCCTGGGCCTGTGGTCTGGTGGGTTAATACCCGTAAAAAACATCAGTTGTATCATTAATAAGGAACGGCTGGCCTCTGTTGTCTTTACATAACAATTGTTTATCAATATTCACGAGAATATAATTATAATACAATAATTTAACTGATATAAAACAGACGCTCCTATAGGTTCAAGAAAATATGAAATGAAATTGAAAAATAATAAATAAAATGAAATAATCTGTTTTAATTGGTAATTGCTACCAAAAAGATACAAAATTTATATATCCTAGATAAGAATAATATAAAATTGAAGTAATGCAATTTATTAGTGTATAAATAGAAGATATCTGGAAAAAGGTAAATATTTCAAGAAAATAAGTAAATGCCATAAATAAGTATTAATACGTATTTCACGGTCATAAAACAACACTAAGAATGTGTATATAGATTAAAGTAACGTTATATATGACTTAAGTTTATTATATATATTGAGACAACGATATATTAGGGGTGTCAAAAGCGGCATGTGGCAACTATCCCAGAGGCAATTACTGAGACCTTGTGAATGAGACGAATCGACTTTTGTGTGAGCGTTGTGTTCCTCTCTCACCTCTCAGCTCTACACCCGGCCCCTCACCTCTCACACAACCCTCTGTCTCCCTCACCTCTCATTTAGCCTTGAGGGGCCAGGAAACCCCTCACAGCGCCTCTAGATAAGGTAAGTGCCATTTCCTGTTGCAAATTTTTTATTCTAAATTAACTCTTTATCTACAGCCAAGTTGGTGTTTAATAGATTTAAATATAGATTATAGAATGATTTTGGTATTAGTTATGTTAATTGGGTGTTTAATGACGTATTTAGAGGTTTATTGAGGTAGGTAGTGATTGTCTAGGTCCATGTTTACGTGGAGGTAACGACCCTAATATAAATCATTAATTATTATTTTTATTATTAATTTATAGATGTTTAAACGTATTATTAAATAAAGAACAAATAATTATACCAAGAAGGTTTTATTATTATTTGGAATTCGCAGTAGTTCTCGGGCCATTGCCAGAAGGTAAACCAGGCAGATAGGTTATTGGGTCTTATAAGAAGGTCGTTCAGATATCTAGACGGTCCGTCCCTCGTGACGATCTTCAGGAGTGAAGTGCTTCCCCATCTGGAGTACTGTCACCCCATCTGGTCCCCGAGATATGCTAGGGACTGTCAGTTGGTTGAAAATGTTCAAAGGAGGGCCACCAAACTGGTGCCTGCACTTCGGCACCTCAGCTAACCTGAGAGATTGGAGCGCCTGAACTTGCCTAGCTTATACTACAGACGGGCAAGGGGGGACCTAGTTGAGGTGTATAAGCATCTCAGGGGGCACTACTCAGTTGAGTGTCCTTACTTGGAGCTGGCGGACACTCGCCCCACAAGGGGTCACAGTTCAAGAGTGAAGAAGCCACAAGTCCAGAAAACTGTGAGGGCAAACTTTTCTGAGTGTGAGCTGTGAACTCTTGGAACAATCTACCAGAGAGTGTTGTGACGGCACCGAGTGTGAGCTGTGAACTCTTGGAACAATCTACCAGAGAGTGTTGTGACGGCACCGAGTGTGAGCTCTTTCAAGAGAAGACTTGACCAACACTGGAGCAGGTTCAGGTACATTCAGGAGCCAGTGCATGCCCAGTACTTACCACCAGTGTGTGACAGAGACCCAGTACTTACCACCAGTGTGTAACAGAGACGTGAACGATCGCCCAAGCGGCTAACGAGACGATCAGTGGTGAAGAGGATAAAAGTAAAGAAAAAAAGGCGGGAAAGAGAGGCGAGGTGTTTGAGGAGGAGACCGGGGGTGTACTATGCAGAATACCGGCGATGTTCCCTCAGCTGAGTCGTTCATTACGTTACTTAATTTACGTTTTATTCTCTTCGTCACTGATGGGTCTGTTAGGCGGCCGGTTACATCTCTGTTACACACTGTTATTAGTTAGATACTGGTTCGCTGTAACACACTGTTAGATAAATACTGGCTCTGTTACACACTGTTACTAGGCAAGTACTGGATCTCTGTTACACACTGTTACTGGACAAGTACTGGCTCTGTTACACACTGTTACTGGGCAAGTACTGGATCTCTGTTCCACACTGTTACTGGACAAGTACTGGCTCTCTCATAAACGCGATTAACAATTTAACACAGTTGGTCCTAAAGGAAAGTAGAATGGAAGAAAACGGAGTTAGTTATTTAAGGATAGACTTTTTTATTTTTTTTACCCCATTGCTATTGTCGCAAGTATTTATTTTCGTCTTTCAGGAATCATGTATGGGCGGCAGGCATGGGTGGGTGTATCGTGGGCGTGTGTGCTATGGGCGTGGTTGGCTACGGACGTGTCAGCGGCTCCAGCATCTAAAAATAAAGGGAATTCTACAGTAAGTTAAATTGTCTGTTTAATTTGGTAGTCTCTCTCTCTCTCTCTCTCTCTCTCTCTCTCTCTCTCTCTCTCTCTCTCTCTCTCTCTCTCTCTCTCTCTCTCTCTCTCTCTCTCTCTCTCTCTCTCTCTCTCTCTCTCTCTCTCTCTCTCTTAATTTATTGATTTTTAGTGACTTCAAAACTATGTATGTATGTATGTATGTATCTATGTATGTATGTATGTATGTATGTATGTATGTATGTATGTATATCCATCTATCTCCCAACAGATGGTAACAGTGCCGTCAGACTTGCTGATACAGTTACTGGACGTCAGCAGGTCGTTACAGAAGTTACTACCAGCTGATACCCCCATCCCCCTGCTTGATGTCAGCCCCGAGGAAGGTAAGGGGACTGTTTTGTTGTTCTGGGGTCCATTTAACCTCATTTAGCATAGTCTTAACTACCCTAATATAGTTTAGCCGTACTTAATCTAACCTATCCTAACGTAATCTAACCTAAAACAAACCTTAACTACCCTAATTAAGCCTTACTAATCTTAAACTAAGCTAACCTACCCACACCTAAGCTAACCTACCCACACCTAAGCTAACCTACCCACACCTAAGCTAACCTACCCACACCTAAGCTAACCTACCCACACCTAAGCTAACCCTACCCACACCTAAGCTAACCTACCCACACCTAAGCTAACCCTACCCACACCTAAGCTAACCCTACCCACACCTAAGCTAACCCTACCCTCCATGTTTGTTGACAGTACTGGCTCGGGTTAACGACGAAGGACCAAACTCACTGTTAACTCTGGCTCTACGTCACCACGCTCTACTGCAACAACGTAACGAAGATTTACTCACCCAACAAGGTCGTTGTACTGCCCAGATCGAGGCACTACAGGAGGATAAACAAGAACTCCGTCTACAGCTACAGGATTGCAAGAAAAAACTACAGTACCTTCAGAAAGGCCCTACAGATATCCTACCTCCTACAGACAGCGCCAAACCTACAGATACTACAGAGGATGTTAAAAAAGGCGTTAAAATAGATGATTTATGTCCTTGTAGAGAGAATTTAACAGAAGCACAGTTGGAAGAGAGGAATTTTGTAGGATTGGATTGTGTCTGTGAGAACGTGACCATACTTCCCAAGACCACACCTGCTCCTGTGTTGTTGGGTACTGGGTCAAGGTGGGTGTGTCTGTGTCTGTCTGTCTGTCTGTCTGTCTTCATCCCTATCCCCTTCTCAATAGAATGAAGGACTCTCTCTCTCTGTCTCTCTCTCGTATAAAGTCAATCTCTCTCTCTCCCCCCTGCCCCCCCTCTCTCTCTATCTCTCTCTTTCTCTCCTCAACAGAGTGAAGGACTGCGCCGGTCATCAGACTGAAGGGGCGACCGAGAGTGGAATGTATGAAATTTACCCATCAGAGTAAGTATCACATCTCTACACCCTCCTACACATCCCTATCCATCCTTACACACCTTCGGCACCCCCTTTACACCCTCCTACACATATCTACACCCAGTTTGTACCCCCAGGTGTCGAGCAGTGAGGGTGTGGTGTGATCTAGAGACAGACGGGGGTGGGTGGACTGTGTTCCTCAACAGACAGGAGCAGCCACACCAGGAGAACTTCACTAAGGCTTGGGACTCATATAAACACGGCTTTGGTGATGTCAACAATGAGTACTGGCTTGGTGAGTGTATTGGCTCTTTGGTTAGGTTAGGTTAGTTAGGTTAGGTTAGTGTTTGGTTAGGTGGGATAGTGTTTGAATTGGTTAGTGTTGGAGTGAGTTAGGGTGTTGGGTTAGGTGGATTAGTGTTTGGTTAGGTTGGAGGTTGGTTAAGGTTAGGTTAAGTTGGTGGGGTTTGGTTAGGTTAGGTTGGGTTAATTATTTAGGTTAGTGGTGGGTTAAGGTTAGGTTAGGGTTTGGTTAGGTTAGTGTTGGGTTTGGTTAGGTTAGGTTAATCCCGTGTAATAAATATTAGGTTTAAAATTAAATTGGTGTATATTATTATATTTGAATACATAACTTAGGTAATAATTTTAACACCTGATTAACACAATTGTAACACCATTTTAACACGCCACAGGTAACGACGTCCTGCATCAGTTGACAGCCAAAGACTCCCACGTGCTGAGAGTTGATGCAGAGGACTTCAATGGCGGCCGCAGATGGGGCGTGTGGGGCCGCTTCCGGGTGGAGGACGAGGAGCACAAGTGAGTGGGCGTGTGGGCGTGGGCGTGTGTGTGGGGAGAGGAGGTGTTGGGGTGTTTGTTATGTGTGTGTGTGTGGGGGGGTGTAAAATACTTAAAAATGAAATAATCCAGTTTCTAATGAAGCCTCTCTCTCTCTCTCTCTCTCTCTCTCTCAGGTACAAGTTACTCGCTG